GTGTGTGTGTGTGTTTGTGTACGCGCTCGCGTGTGTGCGTGTGTGTATAATGATGATAACGATTAAACAATTAAAATATTTGTTTGAGGTAAACTATGATTTGTAGGATGAGTAAGGTCTTAACGGATGAAAAGATTGAGAATGGTGATGACAATAATGATGATGGTGATAATTTCAACGATAATACTGATGATGATGACGATGTATTTGATGATAACGATGATGATTATGATGTTGAAACTAATGAGGGGTTAATAATGATAATGATGACGCTAATAAGGATAAAGATGAAGATGATGTTATGTTGATGACGATGACAATGAAGGTGATGATGGTGAAGATGAAATTTTTAACTTGACGATATTATTGATGATGATGATAATAATGAAAATGGTGATGATGAAAATGATGATGGTGAAGATGAAAATGATGAAAACGATGATGATGGTGGTGATGATGATGATTTCGACAATGGATACTCTTGATGTGGTCATTACCAGACAAGCGGATTACCTACCAGGCTCATTCAAATGGTTGAATATTGAACGACTTAACTGCTTTATATCATTCATCTAACTATCCATCCATCTATTTATCTATCTATCCAACTATTTATTCATTCATTAATTCATTCATTCATTTATTCATTCATTTCATTTATTCATTCATTTATTTATTCATTCATTTATTCACCCGTTCATTCATTTATTCAACCATTCATTCACTAAATAAAATGATTTATTTCTAGCTAATGTATCCATCTATCTATTTGATGGTGATGATGATGAATTTTTACATCTATTTGTTTATCTATCATCTATCTATGATATTATTATTTATATTATGAATAATAATTATTATAATTTTGTTTCTGATCCATTTAGGAGGAAGTTAATTTTCCTAATTGTTAGGACATTTCGTTGGTTATGAGGTGGAAGAAGCAGGCTGACTGACTGACCACGTGAGGCATCATCTTCAACATTGCTCTGACATTGACAGATCACCCGTGTTATTTAATACATCTCGTCTCGTTTTTTCTCGTTTCGTCTTTCTGTTTACTTCAGTAACTCGCTGACGTGTAGATTTAATGTTGTAATGTCTTTATCGAGATAATTATTGCTCCTGTTTAGTGTGTGTGTGTGTGTGTGTGTGTGTGTGTGTGTGTGTGTGTGTGTGTGTGTGTGTGTGTGTGTGTGGTGTTGTTTTGGTCGTGTTTAAACGCTCATGATTCTCATCATTGTAAATATTGTGGGTCATTTTTTGGTTAATGCTATTTTCATTTTTATTTTTGTCATTTATTTACGCTATTTATTAAGCGTTGTTAACATTAAATTTAAAAATCTCATGTTATATTTCGTTATGTTACACGTGATGTTATATAAATCGTACGTAATGTTATTTATTGTGCTGCTAGATATCTTAGCTAGTAAGGTTTTGTTGAGACGATCTTTAAGAAGATTTTGTGGCCATCTTTTCGTCATATCATCCACGGTGGGCCGTATGCACGAATCACTTCCATACTTTCCAAGGTTTATTTCCGGTTCCCTAATACCAAAATCTTATTTCAATGTATATTCTTGATCAGTTTTAGGCAGCTTTGCAGAAAAAATAAACAGTCCAAACAGAAAATCTTATATTATTTTATAAAAAATTTATTTTATAGAAAAAATTTTCTTTCTTTCTTTTTTTAATAATAATAATTATTATTATTATTAATTTATTATTATCTAAAAATTAAAAGACAGTTTGATGTGACGATTGGTGACGATGAACACGATGATGATGATAATAATAATAATTATTATTATAGACAAAAAATGATGATGATGGCTTAAGTTAGTGGATGAGTTGAGATGACAGTGTTGATATGATGACGCCTGCGTAGTGAACGTCGGGAAGGTGATTGTTAACGTTTCCGAATGATGATGAAGATGATGATGAGGAGAAGGATGATGAGGAGAAGGATGATGAGGAGAACGATGATGAGGAGAACGATGATGATGATGATGCTGTTTTAATAATGAAAATGATCAAGACGATAGAGATGGTAATGATGACGACGATGATGTCATAGTCTTAATAATGAAAATGATGATGAGGACGATGACAATGACGATAGTGAAAATGATGATGATTTTGCATTAATATGATGATGATGATGTTATTGTCTTATTAATAAAACTGACAACAATGATATAGATGATGACGATGGTATAGATGATGATGACCACCATGATGAAAGCAGCAAAAAATGGTGATATAAATCAAGTTATACAAACAAGCGTATTCAAACACGCACGCACAAGTGTGCAAGTTCATATGCACGAAAGATGGTGCGGACGAGTGCAGACGCACTGATGAAGACGCGTTCCGTCCGCCAGACATGTTAACATGCTGAATCTATACATGAGATTTCAGTGATGATTTGATTAACACTGACAATAAAAATATGATGACGATGACAATGATGTATTGATTCGTTAGTTTTTCTTATTTAATAATCTCATCCTCGTACTCTCACATACCAACCTCCACATACACGAAATCATCACACACACACACATAACCACATGTGATTATAGACAACAAGTGATTATGTATAATGTACACATTAACACACGCATATTTCACGCATTTCCATGCGACCGCGTTCAGCAGACGCACACACGTACACACGCACACATTACATTCAATGTACATATAATCCTCTAATCAAACTGAGTACATATATTGATAACAAACCACGAAGAAGATGATGAAGCACAATGATACTTCGTTGTTCAACTTTTCTAGTTACAAATTCATCAGTTGTTACATTTGTTACATAACGCCTGGACTGTTCATTTCATTAATCATCACTCTCTCCTCAGTATTGCACTATACGTTTGAACATTTAAAAATCTACACTGAATCGATAAATAAATCATAAAATAGATGAGGATAATGTAAAAACTAAAAACTGTAATATGGCTAATATGGCAGGTAATGATTTAGTGACATATTTATATTTTTGTCCATTTCAATTTAGGGATAGACAAACAAAGCACATAGAGAGAGAGAGAGAGAGAGAGAGAGAGAGAGAGAGAGAGAGAGAGAGAGAGAGAGAGAGAGAGAGAGAGAGAGAGAGAGTGGAGAGAAAGAGAGAGAGGGAGAGAAAGAGAGTGGAGAGAAAGAGAGAGAGGGAGAGAGAGAGTGGAGAGAAAGAGAGAGAGGGAGAGAAAGAGAGAGATGGAGAGAAAGAGAGAGAGAGAGAGAGAGAGAGACGTAGACACCACAGTCTAAGGAGGAGACAAAGATAGAATGCGTGTGAGCATGTGTGTCTGAGTCTGGTGGTCTGCCTACACCAGTCAAGTGGATTATGTAATATAACATAAAACGTGGACGATTACTTTGTTCAATTTTTGATAGATGTCTATCTGACTGCTACTCAGCCAATCAGCTAATTGACATGTCCTGCTGACTTCTTCAACAACAATCTCATTCAGACAAACTCGTCGCATACACAACACGCACGCACGCACTTACAAACACACACACACGATGTGATGTGTTTGTGTGCGAGCGCTGTTTGCTCGTAGACATTTAATTTGATGAATAACATGCATTTGATGATAAGAATGAAGTTGAGAATTGAGAGGCGCCGTGGACGCAGCTGCCACTAAGGCGCCTGCTGCTGCAGTCCACGTTTCTTTTGCGTTAAGTTGAGAAAATTCCTTTTTTGACTTTCCTTGAATGTCTGCAAAAGATCATTCAAAATGTAATCACTGAGGTGGTCGGCGAGTTCGCTTTTAATCAATCGGTGGGGCTGCCACTGCCACGTGTCTTGTCGAAAGCTTATTGTCCACAACTCAATATTTGAATATAAAAATTAAACATTAACATTAAAAAAAACTGAATATGTAAATTTAAAAAAGTTAAACATTAAGAAACTGAGTATTTGAATTAAAAAAAATAAACATTAGAACTAAAGATCTGAGAATGAGACAAAGAATCCTTCAATATATTGTATTTATTGATTTAATTTAAAATATGAATTAATTGTTGTCTAATATTTTTGGGTTCGGCGCTTCATCGCTTTTTTATGTATATTTTGATATTCATACAAACATTATATTATATTTACATATATATATATATATATATATATATATTTATAATGCTTTCCACAATAGCAACCAAAGTTCGGCCACGTTCGTTCATCGTCATTTAAACGATTTTAAACAAACCATAAATTAAATAAGCTAAGCAAGCAGGTCAAACATTAAGTTAACGTACAGCAAGACGAAAAAAGAAATAAAACGAAACAACATAGTGATGGATTATTAATGGAAAGCCGCAATGTTTTCGAGAAATCTCTCAAGAACAAGTAAGAACGAATTCTGTGTGCAGTTTAATTTGAGGATGGTTTCCGGATATCAAAATATATAAATGTCTTCTACGCAATATCATGTGATGAGATTTTTGAAGATTTTAATTTTTCTGTATTTAAATGCTATCTCCAGAGAGCCTTTTTGCACGAGCGAGATTAACGATAATTTTTGATTAATGCAACAAAAAACTTCGGTTGAGGTTAATAATTTTGTACTGACCCCATCCGTGTGGGTCTCATCAGTGAGACTTATTCTATACATTCCAGAGATGTCGATATATTTAACATACCTTTTAAGGAAGGTGATTTTACAGTTTGTTAGAATATTCCGAAACAATCTCATTCAAACGAGCGCGGACACGACAAACACACACACACACACAAGCTCATACAAATACACATATGCACATACACACTCAAACAAACACTCATACAGACACACACATGCATATGAAACAATTTGAAAAAATTGTACTAAGCCAAAAAAATAATTGAAACCAATAATAGCAATGTAGGTTTTTACAATTAGTTTCGGCGAAAACAAGACAATTACAACATATTTTTTATTCATATATTAATATTCTTCATGACAGAAACTTAGACATGGTGTCCATAAATTAGAACAAAATTGTTAAACATCATTTTCAAAGTCCTTGGGGTTCTTTCTGGCTCTCCTGACATTCTCCTTCTCTGCCCAATCATAAAGAACGTACGTTGCAAATGAAGCTGCAAAGAAATTATACAAATTATTGACTTTGTTTAGAAACAGTGAAAAAAAAATGAAAATTTTAATTTTAACACATCATTTTAATCTATGAGGAATGAGAAAATTGTTTAATTATTTATATGTTGTAAATAGTACTAAATCCCAACAACAAAAATTATATAATCGACATAATAAAAAAAGATCTTTCAACTGGTAATCAACAAATCATTATTAATAAAGTTATCACTATTTAAAAAAGACATTTCATAATAAGGCGAGCAAATTCCTTACGAAGGATGACAGGAAGGATGGATTCCTTGATCCTTCTCAGTGTGTTTGGGATTGTTTTAGTCAGGTAGCCAGCAAATGCTCTTTGCTCGTGCGGGGAGAGAGAATAATATATCAGTCCATTCACTTTTATTCCAAGACTTCCAAAATGACGACCCATAATGAAGATTGCTTCAAATTATTTAAACTCACCTGTTTGCAATGTTTAAAAAAAATTATTAAAATTATAACAATAATATAAATAATTTAAAAGTCTAATTGTCATTAATTCAGTATCTCTAAGCAAATTATGCATTAAAATTTATGAAAGAACTAGAAAGAGAAAAGAGCAACTGATTAAATTAATTGATTAACATTAAATTAAAAAAGATATTTATTGAATTTTATTATTGAAGCACTACAGTTACATTGTATCACAATTAGGATTTACTCCAGTTCTTTTTTGGACAACATTTTTTTAACATGAAGGAATAATATGGTGGAACTAACTATTTGTTTGCTAAAACTTTTAAAAGAAATCATTTTGAAAATTTGTAAAATAGGAATAGGTAGATGAAATGATGAATTTTGAATAGTGAAGACAAAAGGGAAAAAACAGAAACAAAGACCAAATTTTATGTAATATTGTAATTGTAAATAATTAAAACACAAAAATGATTTATTTTTCATTTCAATTTCAATTATTCAGGCAAAATAAAGAAGACATTTCAATTCAATATAATTATAAATTATAATTATATTGAATTGAAATAAAAAAATTTCAATTTCAATTATTCAGGCAAAATAAAGAAAACATTTCAATTCAATATAATTATAAATTATAATTATATTGAATTGAAATAAAAAAATGAATTATTTCATATTTAAAATTTTTATTATATTATAGTTTATAATATAATAAAAATCTTTTTAAATAAATCTGAAATACAAAATCAAGGTCGTGAACAGAACAGAGAACACGAATTTCAATGGAATGAGGATGACGCACACAATTAATTCAGCACAAAGCAAATAAGAAGATTGTTCATTTATTTATCACTGACCAACTTGAAAGATGAATTTCGATTATAACACGTTTAAATTAAATAAACCACAGCGAAAACACAATTCCGATCCGTGAAAAGTTGTGTATAAAAGTAAAAGATAATTTAAACGTCACCAAAAACAATATAATGTTTCAAATGACCATAAGCAGCCGATTGACGTACTAGATCATATAATTAGAATAGATGGTGTTTTGATCAGAATCCAGCTAGAACGGGATTATATTGTCAAAATTTAAAATGAATATAAAAATATATACTTTTATAAATTTCTATACTCGAACTTGAAACTGAAAATGTTTAAAATTATGATTTTAAAAGCCACAAAGTGATGAAGAAGATTTAAAGATACCCTAAAATGAAGATGAAGGCGGAAAATTATTTGAAAACTGCCACATAAAAACCATTTCGTTTCGTTTTTTAAGAAGTTAACAACGGACACACGTTTCTCATAAGAAATTCAACAAAAATAATGTCACTGAAACGCGTAATTTTAAAATTATCAAGTGTATCAATGACCGAACCAATTAAATTCTAACTCAAGTGTTCAAATTTTTCAACCTCTTGGAAAAACAATAACAGCGTTTCGCCAGTTGGTTCATTTTTCATGTTGGTATCATGTTTTATTTTTCATACTTTTTCAAATTAATATAACCAAAATTGGGCCCTAGATAGGTTATATTTTATTTCATTCCAATAAAAGGAACAACAAAATGAATACAACCGTCATATATTTTTTCAATAAAATATATTTATTCGGAAATGTGTTTAATAGAAAATAATAAATAATTAATACGTCTATGTACATACAACCTTCGAGAGCTCACAAACACAATCGAAACAAAAGTAGTGAGTGGTACATGAAACATGAAGCAATATGACAACCTCCATGACGATATAGGGATGATAATAATAATATAAAAAATATTATCATTATTATTTTTATTATGATATTATATTATTTATTATGAATAATTATCATCAGATTAATAAATAAAAATGATGATTGCCTGATGACGAATATACAGTTTTTAAAAAACATTTTTGAAAAAAAATATTTCGACAATTTTTAAACCAAGATACTTTAAATGTAAAAATTTCTCTAAAATAGGAATCAAAATACTAACGATAGTAATTTATAATTAATTAAAAATACAACACTAGAGTTTTATAAATTTCAAATGATAGATGGAGATGGTATCACATTGTTTTATGGAACACTGAAAAACTAACATAGACAGAATAAATTACTTCAATTTAGTTGCTAAATATCAAGAGTATATATATATATATATATATATATATATATATATATATATATATATATATCGAATGCATATATATTTATTATCAAAATATACATTAACTGCATTGGTTTTTTTTTGTCCAAAAGTAGAAATTTATACATTTTAAATTAAAGAAAAATAAATAGGATCAATAACCATTATTTCGTATAAATAGGGTTGTTGTGATGGTAATGCAAATGATTGATGTTTCTTGACTGGCTAGCACATTATGTTGATTTGTGGATTTGTTAGATATGTATTGAAGAGTGAATAGTTGATCGGAGGTTGAATGCCAAAAAACCCAAATAACTAGCAATTTAGAAAAGGTTTTTTAGGACGAAACACATGTTATTGAAAATATCAATGAGTGATTCTATTTTTTTCGAGATTATATGTTCAACCTCTTGTTCAAATTCAGATGTCTCAACAGTTATGACGGCGAAAATAAATGTTCCGCTAATAATATTTGATGGCTTACATATGGCCGAAGCCGAATGTCTAATTTTGGCCTTCCATTCGGTTCATCTCTAATTTTTATGCAGCGCATGTATGCTTGGATGCATTCAATAATTCAATACAATATAACTAAACTAAAAATCATACGCATATACGCACAATAAACACATCTCTTTTGATATTCTTTACGTTACGTAGCTGACAATTAAATATTGATGCCTTACATTCAAATACATCCGTCTTTTTTATGACCCTTCGTATCGAAAACTGGAGTGATTTGCTATTATCGTTTGAAGAGTTGAATGTGCTTATCTATGAGTGTACGAATAAATGTATGTATGTATGTATGTGTGTGTGTGTGTGTGTCTGTATGTGTGTGTGTCTGTGTGTGTTTTAAATTTGCAACGCTAATGCATAATAACACGCAAACTGTGCATTAAAATTCAAATACAACTTTCCAACCCATAAATTAATACATGCAATAATTAATGTTAATTTATACATTGCACAACGCCTAAACACCCGCTGATGTAAACCGTGATTAAGTAGTCATACATTCACATACATTCCATTTTATTTATTTGCTTTTTTAAATAGGTAAATTACTACCTATACAAAATTTTCTTGTATACATGTCTATGTATATACATATATATAAATATATATATCAAATCATTAAAACTACTTCTATATTGTGAAAAATATGTTGCTGTGTTTGTTGTTATTTGTGGTGTTTAACCATGGATGTATATATCCAGGGTTTTAACTAATTTAATATTTCTATATTTAATATATCTTGTAAATTGAAAATCACCAAAAATTTGTACAACCATTTTTAACCAGACGACTTTAACCAATAATCTTCAACCATTTTGGCAAACGTGCGTGTGAAACGTACATAACTTGTCCGCATGTCTGCCAGTGATGGGCCAAAGTTAACTAAAAAGTTACTAACTTTTAATTAAACTGATTTTTTTTAGTTAAATGCAAAGTTTAACTTAATGAAAATAGCTTAGCTAAACCAGCAGTTTAACTACTATTTTTAGTTACTAACTAAAAAGTTTAACTAAATTTATTTACCAAGTTCGGCAGCTGTTGAAAGGCTTTTTAGTGCGGCAACGCAAGGTATTCATTGCTCGCAGATGCAGGATGGCAGATGAAACAATAAATATGATGATTTTTCTTAGGCCCCAGCTGAAATCAGATAATCTTATAGATATTTTTCAAAATTGTCATAACTTTTATAAAATTCTAATTTAATAACTTTCAGTTTGTTTTCCTATTATACGCTTTTTTCAAGTTTTTATTTAGAATACTTTGAATTAAAACCGATCATTTGAAAAAAAATTGGAAAAAGTTAGAGAAAGTTTAACTTCAATTTAAAAGTTTAGTTGCAACTGAAAGTTTAATTAAAATTATTTTATTAAAAATAAGTTAAAGTTTAACTTGAAAAATTTAGTTAGTGCCCATCACTGCTGCTACGTAAAACTGTCTTTAAACGACTTCGTTTGTGTCAGTGATTTTTTGACAATAACATAATTGCGACCTGTATGATGTGCGAGTACTGATTAATATATGTGTGTGTGTGGTGCGTGGTGTGTGTGTGTTTGTGAGTGTGTATATGCGTGCGTGTAATTATGTCCCTATGATAAATATGCATAATAACCCGACATTATAACATTCGCTATGCGCACAAAATTGACATAGTCAATGATCAGTGTAAGATTTTACACTGATCACACACGCGCGCGCACGCAGACATACACACACTAACTTAATCCATTTAACATCAAGTATAATATCATCACATAATAACATCTCATCATATCACCACATAACATCATCATGGTATAACATTTCATAATATCAAACATCTTGTTACAATATCACACCTACCTCTTATAAAAAATGAATGATAGATCACCAAGAGAGCGTAAGAAAAATAGTTGATTAGATGCTGCTTTCAACATTAACACACGACATGTTTTGCATGTAAGCATGGCATGCATGCATCAACAGAATCATATAATCTGGAGAAGTCGTTTGCCTTAAATTATCGTGTTAAATGTCATTGTTGATGTCAAATTTGATGCTATTGATGACGTGAATGTTAATGTCATGGTTGATGTTATTGATGTTGTGAATGTTGATGTAAACGTTGATGTCGAATGTTTAATGGAAAAGTGAAAAATAGCATTGTCATGTAGATAGACAAAGAGTTATATCAGAGTGGTTCAATTACACGACTTGTATTTTTCAGTAAAAAATTACACGACTTGTATTTTTCACCCAGTAAAAGTTTATGTGTGCATTGTGTATGTACGAAAAGTAAATAAATAAATAAATAAATATGTAATAAACATATAAAGAAATAAATGAAACAAACAAAAATATAAATATATATATATATAAATATATATATATAATATATATATATAATTATGTATATTATAATAATAATTATGTATATTATATTAATAATTATATATATATATGCATTTTGTTTTTGCGTCCGTGTCTTCAAAATTGCGCCTTCTTCAATTGGCGCTTAATAAATATTCTAAAATCATGAAAAAATAAATAATCGAGAATTACAGTATGAAAATAAAACTATCAATACGCACACAAATATTTGTTAGTTAAATAACATTATATATATATATATATACACATACATACTTATATATTATATATATACACACACACCCACACCCACACACACACACACACACACACAATATATATATATATATATATACATATATATATATATATGTGTGTGTGTGAGTGTATATAATATATATATATATATATATATATATAATGTAACTATATGTAATGTAAATTTTTACAAATTAGAGTTCCAATGAAATGAAGATACAAAAGAATTAGCTACAGAAACAACTTGACTATGTAAACATAAAACTGTAATTCTATAATATTACCACTACCTAATCTTCACTGAAAAAATTTTTGCTGCAGGTTGTTGCTTCAATTAATGTGTATCAATTTGGCTCACTTTTGTTTGTCGTTTTTTAATCAAGTTATAAACAATTTATGGCTAAATAGCATTTGCAGTTTGAACAACATTTTTCATGTGTTTTGGCTCTGATTTAATTTTTAAAAATTTACCAACTTTTAAATTTATTTTCCAATAATTGTACATATCTGCATGAATACAGACACATACACAATGACACACACAAATTAAAAAAAGTCATCATTCCCTTGCAAACACAAACTCATTGTAATGGTTCCACTTTGATTCTTCGAGATCCATTCCTGGCTTCAAGTCGCCACCAGCGCTATTTGTTCCCGAGCCACAAGCTGCCAACAGTTTGAAGCCGCATTCTTGCAGCATGTCAAACGCTTGCTCCAAGAACTGATGCTTCAAAAAAAATCTGGTGGTGTAACGGTCAGTGGTTCCCCTGTCGACATCCCTGCTTTCGTTCAACGTATCTTTGAAGACCTCGCGACATAAAGACACTTTGCCACTCACAAGAATCCGCCACATTTTTCGGAACTTCACGTCGGCCTGGCAGCCATCGCGTCCAAAAGCGAACGTTCCTCGGTATCCCACCACGATGAACCCTGGATCTCGAGAGGGCACTGGAGAGATACGCAGGGATGATGGGGTGATATCGGATGGAAAGTTGTAATGAACACTTCCCGTCGTTAGTGAAGGTGATGGAGATGAAGGAACTTGTCTGTTGCAGGAGGATGTTATTGAATTTTGTTGTTGCAGCTGTTGTTGCAGCTGTTGTTGCTCGCTCGATGAATTAAATATAGAACGATTGACGTTGGTGGAATCAACTGCAGCAGCGCCTTGCAGCGGCATCTTAATTTGCTCCAGCAAGCCTGGCAGTCGATAGTAGTCAGCCTCTTGAATCAATCGTTTCCTTTCCAAGAAGCAGTCAGGTAGCACCAGTTTTCTTCCGTTCCGTAAATAGTCCAGCACAAACCTGGATAACAATGATGTTATTTTATAAGTAACTTCTTGAAAATATCACGCATATAATAAATAAATCAATGTGTTTATGAGTTGCAACGAACTCTTCCTAATCATAATTTTAAAAATTGTTTTTACGTGTCCATGAATTGAATGGTTAAACACGAAGCATGTTTATGTTTGTTTACAAGATGAATTCAGAAAACATTTTTAAACATTGCAAATTCGGCAAGTTTCAAACACGTACAGTACAGTAACAAATAATTAATCCATCTTTTAATTAAAAGTTCAGCGTGACCTCGCATTTGAAACCACGGCAGACATCTCCATCAACATCTCTAACGGACAACTAACATCGCTCTGCTACGTAGATTCATCCTAATGTTTCAATTGTTTTGCTTTTATGTACGCTCGTTTCTTCAAGAATGAAACTGACTTTGTTATACTACTATTTGTAGTTAAATCATAGCAGTTTAGCTAAGTATAAACTTCCTTAGATCACAAATGAATGTAACATTCTTTACACCGGCCGCACTTTTTAATTTAATAATGATAGTAAATTGGTGGTGATGGTGGTGGTTGGTAGGCATCGTGTATGTGTTCTCGACGTGATGTTGTTTTGCAAGTCTAACATTTTGAGATCTGGTAGAGGTGGTGTAGTTTGGCGTGGTCAAGTTCATTTGTCGCGGTGTGGTGCGAATTTGAAAGAGGTTGGTGCAGCATATTTGATGAGATTTAGATTGCTCTGCGTGTGAAACATTTTGAAGTTTTTTGTAAGAATATTTTATAAGGGATGTGATGATGAGTAAAATAGTAATTCTGATGCATGAGATGGGAATCAGTATGCATGTTCGGATAACTGAAAATTTCGTTTGAAAGCTGTATTGTTTTAGCAAAAAAAAAAAAATAGAAAATTAATTTTATATTGCAATAGGTAAACGCTGCGTTGCAAATAGAAGGAATGTTTCGAAGAGCCATACAGTCTGATATTTTTTCACGTTTTAACATCATAAAAGAAAGAAATCTGTAAAGCCAAACGTCATTTAATGTCCCATTTAATGTCTGTCGCAGGTTTATGCAGCGCTTCGAATAAACAGTCTTCAAAAATATCATCTTAACAACGAAAGAGATGTTTTAAAATTTTTTTCAATTTTTTGTTCGTGCGAAAAATGTTCAGGGATGATGCTACTTTGAATGAAGAATGCTTTCAAATTTTCAACAATGCATGAACCATCAAATTGGCGTGCAAAAATGTAATATTTGTTTTGTTTGATGAATAAGTAAAGAGAAGAAATGAAAATAAATTCTAATATGCCCAAAATACGAGCTAATTTGAAAGAAGTGTCTTTTCAGAGTTAAAAAATGGTTAAATGGCTTCAACGAAGACTGATTTATTACGATGAAATAAAATATTTTGTGATTTTAGAAGCGAACGAAGCGAAGTGAAGCAAAGAATCACCAAATTAATTGCATTAAATTAATAAAAAGAAATTAACAATTATAAAAATAGTAGATTAATTTCAAACTTCAAAAATTACGTTTAATTTTTGTGCTGCCTCGAAGCGTTGACGATTTAAAGCCAAATAATGTTAGCTTTTCTTATGTTTGGAGAAAGTTTATCGGCACTAAGTACGCTGAACATGCTGGAGGCGTGAAAACATTTCGTGAAATTTTTTATGGATTCAAATTTTTGTATATTTTAATTTGATTTATAAATGGATTCTATGAGTTTTTATTTATTTCTAAATAAATAAAACTTAATTTATAAATATTCAGTGTTGTTAAAAGTATTTAGAGTATTTATAATAAAAACTTAAATAGTATTAAAATACTTACTCCAATATTTAAGAGGTATTTAAAATACTTAATAAAATAGCAGTATTTAGACAGTATTTAAATAGTTTTGCGTAGTTTTAGTAGTTATAAAAATTTAATTACTTTGATCTGATGATTTGTTTGAAACATATCTACTCCTAAAAGTTTACAAACATTATTGGCGAATTTTTGTGTTAATGTCTTTTTCATTTCTAATGCAAACATTTAGGAGACTTACTGCAATGTAATGTGAGTGTATATAAACTAATGAGAACAAAAAATTATGTAATTTAAGATTATTTTTTGTTTTAACATCAAATGAAAACTGCGTGGTATTTAACTGGATTTTTACTAATTGTTTGCAGCGTATTCAGAAACTTAGCACTTGATTATTTTAGCAACACTGTAAATATTGCGATAAGCAGTTGCTTAGAGTTGCTTGGAGTTGCTTGGAGTTAGTTAGACTTTAGTACAACCGTTACAATTCAATATTAAATAACAACTTTTTTCGTTTAAATCAATATCTATTCACTAATAAACTTCATAAAATATCGTTGTTATTACACATATTTTACATATTTATGTATACATAATATAATATATATTATAATATAAAATATTATATTATAGATATTGGTTCGACATGTATACATAATATAATATATATTATAATATAAATTATTATATTATAGATATTTATTCGACATCATTGTAACGTTATTACTACATCACATGTAGTGACACAGGAAATTTTTGTAAAAAAGATATATTTAATCGTTAAGTTTGAGTTAAGATAAACACAGCAAAAATTTTAAAAAATTTAACAAATGTTTGCATACAAAATTAATGATTATTTAAAAATAATTTATAATTTATTTATTTATAATTAATTTATAACTTATACATTTAAAAATAATTAATTAATTTGCCGACCCATTAATTGGAATAATCAACTAATTTAATTAATTGAGCCATCAACCTGAACAAGACTCCATCCCTGTCGATGAAGCACCTGCCTCTCCCATCTTTCAGTAGTAGTGGAGAGTTTCGATCTTCAAGTTGCTGTTGAAGTTGTTGTTGCTGCTGTTGAAGTTGTTGTTGCAGGCCGTATTTATTTTGGGGGTTACCACCAGATGTGGTTTTTGTTTCAGAAACGTTTGATGATGTTAATTCTGCGTCTTTCAAGCTGCTTAATGTTGATGTTGTTGTTGCCGCTGCTGTTGTTGCCACTGCCGATGTTGTTGTTGCAGCAGTTTTGCCAGCAATGTCATCTCTGCTATCGCCAATGTTGTTGCTGTTGTTCGATCTTGAATTCCCAAGAAAATACGATTGTTTGGCATTTGAAACAGCGGAAGACAATTTTCTTTCGGAGAAAATTTCAGTAAGTAGGGAGCCAGGCTCGGAGGTCAGTGTTGTCCTTGTTGTTGTATAGACAACTCCACCCACGTTCAACTCAACAACTTGGCAACAATCAAAATAATCCATCGACCGAGAATCTGAATTGCAACAACTGTCGATTGTGATGGAGACAAGTAGGTTAGTTACTGTTGCTTGGCAGTTGTTGTTGTTGTTGAGTGTTGCGCAAATAAGGCGACGATTTTATTTAAATCAATGTTAATGTTGAATGTTTATATTGCGGTTGTTGTTTAACATGTTATCATTATTTTGTTGTTTTGCTTGGTTCCGTGATGGCGCGGAAAGCAGTGTCCTTGCAAATACAATTTCTATCCTATATCGTTCCGTTAGCTTATTTTCTGCTCAGTTTTGTTTCTAACGCCTGTTGTTATTATTATTGTTGTTGTTTGCGTTGTTATTATTTTTGTTGTTGTTGTTATCAGCGTTGTTACTGTTAATGTTGGTGTCGATGTTGGCGTTACTTGGGTTGTTTGATGGCGCGGGAGTGGTTTCCAGTCTGCAGCATTGAATGAAACCAGCAATTTTTGCTTTGCTGATTTATAAAAATTGGAAAAATATAAAACTTAAAAAAAAACCTCAAACCAGTCAGTCGAAATTTTTTCTCACAGGATCTCACACACAGCTTACAACCAAATGATTGAATTAAATTGATTTATGCATTCGTCTGCACACACACATTTGTTTATATATACATACATATACATGCGCAATTATAAAAGAAGATGTATACAAAAAGATATACACAAAAATATATGTACAGTACAGATGAACGGATATGTACAAACGAAAGTGTACAAAGTAACTTGTACATTACGGAGCTTTATCGATTACAACATGAAAACAAATACAGTTGGTGTACGCGTTCATTTGTATGCATGCACTTGTACAACATACACACAATACAACATCATTTCAACATACAAAACATTCATACAACAACATTGTTGCTATGTTTGCTCGTTTGTTTTGAGCAAATACAATTTAAACTAAAACGAGTTTTAAATAACCAGTCTTTTTGAAAAAAATCAATTGTACTCTAAGGAGTGTTTATCTATACATATATATATATATATATATATATATATATATATATATATATATATATATATATATCTATACATATATATATATATATATATATATATATACATATATAAGACATTATTTACTTAGAAAGATAATTTTATAAAATAATTAAAAAGTGACGAAATAGTGAATAAACTATTATTTAATGAACAAAAGAAAAATAGCACATAGGCAAAAAAAACATAAAAATGTATGAACGAACAAATGAGTAACAGTTTTTAACTTTGTTTTCTATATGTATAAGTTAAAAAACAATGATAAAAATACAAAACGAAATGTTGAAAAATTGAACCAGAAACTGTTAAAAGCTGAAAATGCAGTGATATATATATATATATATATATATATATAGATAGATAGATAGATACCAAATTTGAATGTATAAAAGTGAATTCATGTTTGTATATATAGCCAGCAATCGTGTACCTATAAACTGTATTCTATATACTCCTTTCAACTATTCACTCAATACAAATGCTCTCTCTATGCATGGAAATCTGAAACATGGCACCAACGCAGGCGTTGTCCAGTAATCCAATTTAATGGAATAAAGTGAGAATTAAATAAGTTATAGAATGTGAAAATGATTACGGAAAATGTTTCATAAAAATGTTTTGCATGTATTTGCCATGATTGGTATATATGTGTATGTATGTAAACAACGGGAGCCAGCTGAACCACGCTAAGCAACCCCAGCCCACCAAATCGCACCGGCAGCTGAGCCTGGGACCAACCACTGTCAGTCACTTGAACATTGCAAATCGACGACAGGGCAGTGCGCAGGGCTCCGTCAAATTCGCCCGTCAAATTCAATGTGTTTAGATGTACGCAGGAAGTACATCAATTTGGGCAAACTGAGGGCATTGCGGATAATAGTCAAGGCATCATGGGCCGAAAGACAGGAAACACGACCCAGGGCGAATTTAAGCTCAGAGAGCTTTTGGTCAAAAAATGTATGTATGTATGTATGTATATATGTTTGTATGTATGTATGTATGTATGTATGTATGTATGTATGTATGTATGTATGTATGAATGTATGTATGTATGTATGTATGTATGTATGTATGTATGTATGTATGTATGTATGTATGTATGTATGTATGTATGTATGTATGTATGTATGTATGTATGTATGTATGTATGTATGTATGTATGTATGTATGTATGTATGTATGTATGTATGTATGTATGTATATATGTATGCTTTTTCGCGCAAAATATATTCACCTCATCCAAAAAGATCTTGAACAGCAAAAATTCGAGCAAAAATATTTTACTAACATGATTATATCATGAAATAAATTTAATAAATTCAAAGTTAGTTGAGCAACAGGCTATAAAAGAGTTTATAAAGCAACGAGATGACATCAAAATGCCATCAAAATGACATCAAGACAAACTTGAAATATCATTAAATTGACGTTTGATTAACATCAAAAGACCTAGCAATGGCATAACTATAACATTGAAATGCAGTATTCTCTTGAGCCAAATGAGTCCATCTGACGATGTTTAACCATATTTCTTGTATCAAGTTTGAAATAACACAACAACGAAAGATTTAAAAATGTAGAAGAGAAAGCGAAGTGTAAGAGGATTATTTTGGTAGAAAGGAGGGAATTAAAAAAATTGAGTTTGAATTGAGAGAAAAATGAAGGAAAGATAGAGAAAAATGAGAGAGTAATGGAAGAAGAGATGGTGAAATAATGGGAGAGAGGAGTGATAAAACAGAAAAATGAAAAAAATTGAATTGAAGAAAAGAAATTTAGTGACCGAAAAAATACTAAAAAAAATCGTTAATGGTTATAAAAAATAAGATGTTGGGAAAGTTGGTGTGGGTGGATGAGTGAGTGTGAGTGAGTGAGTGAATGTGAGTGAGTGAGTGAGTGAGTGAGTGAGTGAGTGAGTGAGTGAGTGAGTGAGTGAGTGAGTGAGTGAGTGAGTGAGTGAGTGAGTGAGTGAGTGAGAAAGTGGGTTAGTAAGTGATTGAGTGAGTCTTTTTTTCTGAGCAAGTTAGATTTCAATAAAATTAATTTGGTTACCCAAAGTAAACAAATTAATCAGTCATTGATTTAATTTAGTAATCAAATATGTGTGTTTGTATGTGTGTATGTGTGTGTGTGTGTGTGTGTGTGCTGCTGCTTATATCTTTTTGTGGTTTTATTAAGAGTTTCGAAGTACTCGTCCATTTTAACCGTAAACGTTCATATAAGATTAGCAGATTACACGCAAACACTTACTACATAGATGGATTATACAAACACACATGTGTGTATGAAGAAAAAATTTCAATTGGTAGCGCATTGGTTGTATGCTCACACTTGAATCATGCCTTCCAACGCTTCACCATTTACACTCCGAGATTGTAGAGTTTTATTAAAAAAAACGAAATAGTAAAAAGTTTAAGAATCAGTAAAAATTATTATTTATGCATACGGTTGCATGCGTACAACGGGATGTCTGACGCATAACGAAGAGTAGTACGCGTAGCATTGAAAGAGTGATATTTAATTTTGCCGAGACGTTGTTTTGAATGGAAACATCCCAGATAACCCTGTTAGGCGAACGATCGAGTGTTTCGAGAAGGGCTGTGCTTGCTTATATGAACAATGTAAATATTTATTCCGTTTAAACGCAATTACTCTGTAAGTGGTTTGGAGAAAGTAAAAATTATGAGCAGGTTTGGTGGGGAAGTCAAATTTTTGTCCAAAGAATAACGAGTGGACCTCATGGTAGGGCCGTACTGAGTAAATTCATTTCAATTGTATCAGTTGTTAACTAAATTAAAAACATACATAATAAATCCATTATAATTGTATTAACTGTCAACAGAATTTAAAAATGTCTTTTAAAAAATGAATGGCTCGAAGGTTGAGAAAAGAAGCGAGCATAACATTTTCAAAACTGAGACCAGTGAAATGTACACAGAACCGTGATGAGAGAGGGCTTGCTCATCGCCCAATGAAGTTGGCCATCTCAGTGAGTTGATTCAAAAATGTTTACACTGCTAACCATCTGTTTGTGCTGGGTACATACCTTATATGATATTTTGAACGCTCGCACGTACTTGGTGGTGTGTAATAATGGTCATCATCGTGAAGCGCAATTGTCATCAGAAGGCAGTGTAATGTAATTATTAATATATTGAGTACATGAACATTAAAGCAAGTGCATATTCATCATCGAAGGATGTAATCATCATTTAGATTTGCAGTTTGAAATGAACTACTACTGTTTGCCAGACTGTTTACCGACGTTGGGGAAGTTATTTGTGCCCATGCATTAAGCTTTTCATCAGCCAGCCTCTAACCTAACTACATTTAATTAATTGTGTATGTGGCTGTGCGTGTGTGTGTGTTTGTTTGAATGTGTGCGTGTAAATGTGATTTTTTATAAATAACCTTAATTTAAATAATAATACAATACGACGAGACTGACTAGAAATTGAGATGGAAGAACCAGATTGAAAAACCTGGACAAAATGAAGTGGCTAAATTTTTTCAAAAGCATACACAAAATAATAAAACCACACAAGTATAATTATCTTATTGCTTTTATACTAAACAAAATGTTGGCGGTAATAAAGCTTGAAATAAAGCTTATAAATAAAGTATTTTTTGTCAATAATATTTGCACTTAAATAAATGTCTTTAAAATTTTTTGGTATGTCAATAATCTTTCGTAAAATACTATACATTTCTTTTCTATATTAACTTTAATCTTTATAACTGTTACAAAATTGGAGCATTTTTTATAAAAATGGTAAGTTTTTATAATTTGGAAAACCTCCCTGGACAACTTGTCATAAATGTGACTGTCCCAGAAAAACTGGATCGTCTGGTCAGCCCAGTCCACACATGTGACCGACCTTTCAGTTTTGGAATGGAATGACTGTTGCAGTTTGAATGTATTATTGTAATGTTATAATACATCGAAGCTTTCTTTGCCAACAGCATTGCTATCGTTATTTAAAAATTCTT